AGGCATCACCCTGAGTCAGGGAGGGCAGGGGAAGGTCCCTCCCATCCCTAAGGAGCTTTTCCGTGTCTCTGCCTGGAATAGCAACGAGCACATGAGCAGAGTTATTACACCCCTAATCAGCTTGTAGAGCTGGATGGACATTTATAACCTGGTGGAAAAACACTTATTACCCCACGGATGGACATTTATAACCCCGGGGATGAACACTCACAACCCCTCTGGATGAGCATCTACAACCCCAGGGATTAGTACTTTTAACCCTATAATGAACATTTATAACCTGATGGCTAAACACTTACAACCCCATGGATGAACATTTTTAACCCAGTGGATGCACATTTATAACCCTATAATGAACATTTTTAACCCCACAGATGAACATTTTTCACCCTATAATGAACATTTTTAACCCTATGGGTGGACATTTTTTACCCCATGGATGAACATTTTTAACCCCACACATGATTACTTATTACCCCATGGATGAACATTTTTAACTGAACATTTATAACCCTATAATGAACATTTTTAACCCAATGGATGCACATTTATAACCTTATAATGAACATTTATAACCCCACAGAATATCATTAATAACGCCAAGGATGAACATTTTTAACTGAACATTTTTAACCCTGTGGATGAACATTTTATAACCCCATGGATGATCATTTTCAACCTCATGGATTTTTAACCCAATGAATGAACATTTTTAATCCAATGGATGCACATTTATAACCCCACAGGTGAACATTTTTAACCCTATGGGTGGACATTTTTTACCCCATGGATGAACATTTTTAACTGAACATTTATAACCCTATAATGAACATATTTAACCAATGGATGCACATTTATAACCTTATAATGAACATTTATAACCCCATGGATGAACACTTTTAAGTGATCATTTTTACCACTATAAGGAACATTTTATAACCCCGTGGATGAACATTTTTAACTGAACATTTATAACCCTATAATGAACATTTTTAACCCCATGGATGATCATTTTTAACCCCACAGATGATCATTTAGAGCCTCTTCAAGACATCATCCAACAGTGAAGAGCAGGAGAGCGTTTGCAGCCCCCAATATTTCACATTCCACTTGCCAGTCCCGAGGAAGAGAAATGAATTACAAATTAATTTGGCTCATCTGCTTCCTCGAGGACCTGGCTTTGCCTCTGAAGTCCAACAAGGAAAAGCTTTGCCTTATTTGCTGCTTTCTCGCCCCAAAACCCCCTTTTTAACAATCCCTCCCTGGAGCCTCCCAGCAGCAGGAAGGTGCTGGCAGGTTCCTGGTGCCTGTGAGTCACATCTGCCCGTGGATCCTGTTCCAAAATGACATCAGCGCTGAGGGAAGCAGATCCACGTGGAAGGGACAACGCCACACGCTGATTCCCTTTTTCCATGAAATCCTTGGCTTGGCAGCCTCTGGCCAAGGAGGAAACCCCGTCCTGGAAGCAGCAGGAGGTGCTGGGTGGAAAGTTTGCCTGGGTGGATTTTTTCTCCCCCTCTGTTGGTTCCTGCCCTGGCACATTCCCCGTGTCCTGACGTGCCTCTGGGATTAGGGAATTGCAGGGATTTCTCCTCCTTTCCAGCACAGGTTACGTAACTGATGACATTCTGGAAGTCTGTGTGGATTCAACACCCTGCTCCTGCCAGTTTTAACTCCTGGCCTGATTTCACTAATCATGGAAAAGCCTAAAAATTTATATCATCATGGAATCCTGGAATGGTTTGGGTTGGAAAGGACCTTAAAGCCCACCCAGTGCCACCCCCCTGCCACGGGCAGGGACACCTTCCACCAGGCCAGGTTGCTCCTGGCCTTGAACACCTTTTATCCTTTTGAAATCCTTTAATCTTATTTTTTTTTAATTATTTTTACAGGAAAAATTAAGGATGTCAAGAGACAAAGACCACCCATGAGCTGTGTAATCCTGCAGCTGAATACAGAATAATGGGGCAGGTAAAGACCTTCTTCAATTAAAAATCAGCCAAAAAGGACATTTCATTCCTCCCCTTTCTGCTTCCTGAGGTCTTGCAGGGCTGAAGGCCTAGCACAGCTTCACCCCTGGTGTGCAACCAAAAAAAAAAAAAGCAAAATATCCTAATAAAACATCAGTGTTTTAATTAGACACTGGGATGGGAAAGTAACAGCCTGAGTGGCATCTTCCCTTCTGGCAGGGAAGGAAGTGCCCCCAGTGCTTTCCTTCCCCAGTGCTGCCATCACCCCATTCAGTCCCCAGATTGCCTTTCCTCTGCTCTCATCCAGGCAGGAGCCAAATATTGCAGAGATATAACCTGGATCCCGAGAAAAATCCGAGGAGTTTTGCTTTAAAGAGCCAGTTCCGTGGTGAGGCCGGAAAATAAACCCAGTTCTGCAAAACACATTCCATTAACCCCCCGAACACAGCCCTTATTCCCAATTATTTTTGCATTAGGAGGGTTCAGGGATATTTCTGGATGAATTTAGTGGGATTTGAGGTGGGATGAGCTTGAGCCCAGGGTTTTTTTTGCTGGCTCCAGGGAGTGACAGTGGGATGGGGTGAGGCTGTGGGACTCCAATCCCACCTCCAAACCCCTCCCAGATTACCCCAAAGCCCCAGGAAATCCCTCACAGACTCTCCCAAGCTGCAGCTGCTTCTCCAGGTAAGCCCAGAGTTCTGTGAATAAAAGTGTTTTGCATGAATTAAAGCCATAAAAAAAAATAAATTAAAAAAAAATCAATGAGGAGCAGTGAAGGAGACGAACCCACCCCCTTTCCCAGCTCACCATTCAACCCAAGTCAGCATTTTCCATCCCTTACGAGAAAATCTCATCCCATTAATGATTTCTAAGCTGGCACAGAGCCTGTTGTGTTATTTCCACTGTCCCCTGTGGATGAAGAAGGGCCAAACCTCCAGTGCAGATCGATGCAGCTCCTGCCTTGAAGATGAGAGAAATTTTACCCTGCTGAGAGGCCAAAAACCCACATGGCCCCATTAAAGAGAAGCCCTGGGTACACTGAGCTGGGTGGGTTTAGCCCCATAACTTCCAGGATAAATTAAAGATTAATTAATAATCCACAAGCTGCTCCTGCTCCATTTTGCAGCTGGAATCTTTATTTCACCAAACAAGACCAAAACTTCCTTCAAAATATTTTAGTACAGGAAAATCATGATTTTTAGAAGCTGTGGATGGATTAATCCCAAACACCTCATTCCCAGTGCTGTATTTCTCTCTCTTCCTGCCTTGGGATTTTGGATAATCCAGGGAAGAGTATTAGAACCCAAAGCAGGGAATCAGGAGCCATCTGTGCACTCACACATGGAATAAATATCTCCTGCAGGAGAGAGCCTTGACAGGCTCACACACCTTGATCCTGCTCTGCTATTTAATTTTTCTCCTCCAGAAATGAATATCCAGTTCTTCCCAGCACAGCCCAAGCTCCCAGCACAGCCCATTTCCCTACCAGACAAAAAACCACTTAAATTTTTTACCATAATCCAGCCAGATGGATAAACCAGGGAATGGAGCATCAGGGTGAAATCCCCTTTACAGCCAGAAGTGCCCTGAGGTCCAGGGATGGGAGCAATGCTGGGATGGACATTCCTGGCCCAGCAATCTTCTCTGGACAATTCCATCCCAGCCCCTCAACACCCTCACAGCCAACAATTCCTTCCCAATATGTGCAATTCCATCTTCATTTGCATCTCCCAACCTCCACACAACCAGCCCAGGTTTCTCTGGACTCCAACTGTTTATTACAGCACATCCTAACTCTAAAGGACGGGAAAACTCCCCATCCTGGCCTTTAGGTCCCTGTGTATTCCAACCACATATTCTTACCCCGTGAAAAAGCCCCAGTTTGCCATGAGCATCTCAGGGAATTTTTAGTTGCCCTCTGTGGTGTTTCCTCCCATTAAATATCAGGATAACTCAACAGAAACTGTGACTGCAGGAGTGAGTTTTCCCCCTCTGGAGCGAGGCAAACTCTGGAGGCAGATTCCTCCTTTCTCCCACAGGTCTGAGCCTGTTTTATTTCCGCTCCATCAGTCCACAGAACAGCTCCCTGTTTCACAGGATAATGGATAATGGGTTTGGAGCTGCAGCCAGCAAGTGCTGAAAGCATCCTTTCCTTTCCTTTCCACAGAGAAAAGAAACCATGAAATTCCCAAACCAGCCCCAGACCTGCTCATCCCATTGATATTCTTCAACAAACAATCCAAACTCTGCGATTTCCCAAGATTTCCAACCCAGCCCCAAACCCTGCTGACCCCACTGATATTCTCCAATAAACCATCCAAATGCTGCGATTTTCCAAGATTCCCAAATCAGCCCCCAACCCTGTCATTCCATTCAATATTTCTTCAATAAACCATCCAAGCTCTGTCGTTTTCCAGGATTTTCAAATCAGCCTCAAACCCTGACATTTTTTTGGTACAAAAGGTAAATGCTGCGATATTCCAAGATTTCCAAACCCTGCTGATTCCACTGATGTTTCTTCCATAAAACCGTCCAAGTGCTGCAATTTTCCAAGGTTTCCAGACAAGCCTCGAACCCTGATATTTCTTCAAGCGTTAAATCCAAATGCTGCAGTATTCCAAGATTTCCAACCCAGCCCAAAACCCTGCTGATCCCACCAGTACTCATTCAACAAACCCTTCCAAGATTCCCAACCCAGCCCCAGATCCCGATACTTCCTCAGCACAAAATCCAAACGCCGCAGCATTCCAAGATTTCCGAACCAGCCCCAAACCCTGGCGTTCCTTCAATGAAACCATTCAAGCCCCGCGGTTTTCCAAGGTTTCCCTATCCCCGCTATTTCTCCAGGAGAGCTGCGGTTTGCCAGGCACTCCTTTTGCCCATCGGCGATGCTCCCCCATTCCCGCATCCTCCGGGAGGGCTGGGTTGGGGGTGACGGCCGGTTTTTGGGGGGCCGCGGTATTCCCTGGGGAAGGAAGGGGATGGATCCCGGCCAGGCTGTGCGGGGCTGGGCTGGGCTGCGCAGAGCCGGCTCCTCCCTCTCGCTATTTATTCCTCCCCGGAGCTGCCGGGGCTGAATCACCTCGAGCCGAGCAGGGAAGGAGCTGCCAGCCGGTGAGTGCCGGGGAAAAAGGGGCGCGGGGGCTTCGGCGGGGGGGAGGGATAAATCCAGGGGCGAGGGGGGCTTGAAAGCCGAGCAGCATCGCGAGGATGGGGAGCTGCCTCTTTTCGCTGCCATCGCCGCCTAAAAATAGACATTTCCAGCGTCTCCTTAAAAGCCGGAGCTCGGCTTTGCCCGGAGGTTGTTTACTCAGCGCTCCTTCGGCGCTGATGCCGGCGGGGAATTTTTCCTTGGAGGTTTTTTTTTGTCCTTTCTCTCGTCTCCCAGATGCTCCCCCAGGTTATCTGGGGGGATGGACAGAAAAAAATAAAAAAAAAAAAAAAAGGGAGGGGGGAGGATTCTTAAAACCAGAGGTGACATTTTCAGAGAGCAAACAGCCAGCCTGCAGCCTCCTTTCCCAAAACCCCCAGCCTGGAATTTCCATCCCCCACCGGCCGGGATCGCCGGGAGGGTCTGGACGCCCCCATTCCCGAGCATCTTCCCACCTCCACCTTCCACACTCCCCTCGCTGCTCCTTCCTCCACCCTCTCCCTCGCCGCGGGCACCTTACCAAGGTTATTTCCACAGTTGTTTTGGCACCGGGGTGTTGGTTTTCCCCTCTAAACCCGAAACTTCCTCCTTGCCAACCCTGAGCACGTAATTGCTGCTCGTGATCGCAGCCTCCATTTTCCACTCCCCCTCCTGTGCCCTGAAGGAGCACAGAATTCCTCCCGCTCTCCCTCCAGCACAGAGAGGAATCGAGAAATCGCCCCGCTCTAAACCACCTGAATTAATTCCTCCTTTCCCACATCCGCGGAGAGGGGAGGGAGGTTAAACAGAGCCGGGGCAAAATAGCTGCGAAGCCATTCGGTGTCATAATTTAATATCGATATCCTGGTCACAGCGGGGATGTTATTTCCAGGCAGAGGGATCTCCCAGCTCCGAGGCCGGGGAAGCGGCTCCCGATGCCCCATCACCCCCGGGTTTGTGCCAGGGAGCCCGTTTATTCGGGACGCAGCTCGGAGCTCGTTAATTAGCGCGACGCTAACGAGCCTTCGCCCTGTTTATGAGAGCTCAGCTCTGCGAAGGCAATTAGAGGAGCAGGTCAGAGCTGCCGGGCTGGAACATCCTCCAGGGCTTTGCTGTAACCTGTTTTCATCCAGGGGCTGATATTCCCTCCCACCCACCCCCACCTTGGAACTCACCGCGAGGAATGATATCTCAAAATATAAAATAAAAAAAATAATTAAAAAAAAATTACTATTTTGCTGCCTGCCTTCCCCCCCCCAGATTTTCACCCAGGTTTTGTTGTTTCTGCCGTGTCTTCTCAGCTATTTTTAACCCCCTGATCTCATCCCTGCCCCCAGCGGGTGGGTGCCGAGGGTGAGGAGGCAGCAAACCCGCTCCGAAGAGGGTGGTTTGAGCCCAGATTTTTCCATGAGCAGGCGGCCCAAGCCTGGAATTCCTCCCCATCTCCAGGGACAGGCTCGTGCATCCTCCCTGCTCTTTCCTTTAGGCCTTTTGCAGGCGATCCCACCCAAACACAGACCTCTAAAAGGCTTTAATTCAAGCGTTTCTCGACATAAGACCAGATTTTATGGAAGGTGGAGGGAAAAACATCATTATCTGAACCCGGGGAGAGATTAATTTGCTTTTTATGGCCCATAAAACCATATCTAGGTTACAACAGAAGAATCTGTGGTTTAAACAGGGGGTTGTTTGGCGTCTTTGACTGTTAAGGGTGACATCTCAGGAGAGAACATCACCTCCTACTTGCATTAGGGTTATCCCTGGGGAAAGGGGTGAATTTTAAGGAAGTTGGCCCATTAGTTGCTGCAAAAAAGCCATTTAGGACCTACATTTAATTGTTTCTTGCTGTAACACGAGCCAGAAAGCACATCCAAGGGTACTGAGAGACGCCCACCCACACTGAGAATGCTTCACTCGCCCTCCTCAACCTCCCTGGTGTGGGATTTTGGGGGATAGCTCGGGCTCAGGAAGGATGGAAAAACCCTTTGCTGTGGTGCACTGACATTAAACACGAGGGGAGCAGCAATTCAGTGCCCTTGGCTCTGCAGGGAGGCATCCAAGGGGATCCTGGAGGTGCTTTCCTAAGGTCTTTCCAAAGGATTTGCAGACCTGGTGTGTATTAGAGGGGCTGGATTACACACACAGGGAGAGAAATGGTTCGTTAAATGGGATTTCAGCCTTGCCAGCCCACCAGCTGATGTGGGAGATTCCTGACCTGTCCCTGGCATGCCAGCGGGAAACGCTGAGTAAGGGATAATTGCAAACACGTTAAACTCAAAAAATGCTGGTTTTCACTTCAGGGCTGTTGCACATTAACAGGGATTTGGGCAAAACACGCTGGATTCTGTTCCTTGGGAATATAAAACCTCCAGGGCCCAGCTGGGCGTTGCCCTCCTGGAAGCACCGAGAACCCAAAAGCTTTGGGATTGGGCTGGATCCGTCCACTGCGTTGATCCTGGAATCCCATCAGAAATCCCATTTATGCCACCTAATTAGACAGAGTAGGTTTGATAAGTGGGGGTTTACCTCCCAGTTAACTGAAGCATTTGTTTTTTTTCCCCAGAAGCTTTCTCTTTCACCACTTAAAATTGCTGTTACTTGCTGGAAACCCATGGGTGAATATATATATATATATATATAAAAAAACCAAAATAAATATATATATATAAAATATATATATTTGGGGGGGAGGATAAACACTTTGAGGGGGGAGATAAATATGCATTTCAGTGCAAAGCTGTTGGTTCTGCAGGCGGATTTAGGGGGATGAAATGTGTTTTATACGATGTGTGACTGCGGGAGCCTCGGGCCGGGGGGGTCTCTGCCTCCTGCCCTGACTCTCCCTATCCCTGTGTCCTTGTGTCCCACAGCCATGGCCAGGCTCCTGCTCACCTGCTCCCTGGTGGTCCTGCTCCTCGGCATCTGCACCGACGTCGCCTTCTCCAAGAAGGGCAAAGGCAAACCCGGCGGGGGCGGGTGGGGCACGGGGAGCCACCGCCAGCCCACCTACCCCCGCCAGCCCGGCTACCCCCAGCACCAGGGCTACCCCCAGCACCAGGGCTACCCCCACAACCCCGGCTACCCACACAACCCGGGCTACCCCCACAACCCCGGCTACCCGGGCTGGGGCCAGGGCTACAACCCCTCCAGCGGGGGCACCTACCACAACCAGAAGCCGTGGAAGGCCCCCAAACACAAGACCAACTTCAAGCACGTGGCGGGGGCGGCGGCGGCGGGCGCCGTGGTGGGGGGGCTGGGGGGCTACGCCATGGGCAGGGCCATGTCGGGGATGCACTACCGCTTCGACAGCCCCGACGAGTACCGCTGGTGGAACGAGAACGCCGCGCGCTACCCCAACCAGGTGTACTACCGCAACTACGGCGGCTACGTCCCGCAGGACGTCTTCGTGGCAGACTGCTTCAACATCACCGTCACCGAGCACAGCATCGGCCCCGCCGCCAAGAAGAACGCCTCGGACGCCGGGCAGGCCGTCAACCAGACGGAGGTGGAGCTGGAGAACAGGGTGGTGACCAAGGTGATCCGGGAGATGTGCATCCAGCAGTACCGCGAGTACCGCCTGGCCAACGGCATCCGGCTGCACCTCGCCGACGCCTCGCTCGCCGCCCTCCTGCTCCTCGTCCTCTTCGCCATGCACTGAGGGGGCCCGGGATCCCACGGCTTTGAGGTGTCACCCGCGTCCCCGTGGGGACCCCCCCGACCTCCCCGTTCTTGCTTGCGGTCGTCGTTGGTGAAGAGCCCTTGGGGCACGCGGGCGCCGGCGCTCCCCGTCACCTCCTTGGGGTCCCCTCCATCAGCTCCTTGGGGCTCCCCTCCATCAGCTCCTTGGGGTCCACCCCCATCAGCTCCTTGGGGTTCCCCTCCACCACCTCCTTGGGGTCCACCCCCATCAACTCCTTGGGGTCCACCTCCATCAACTCCTTGGGGTCCACCTCCATCACCTCCTTGGGGTCCACCTCCATCACCTCCTTGGGGTTCCCCTCCATCACCTCCTTGGGGTCGACCTCCACCACCTCCTTGGAGTTCCCCTCCACCACCTCCTTGGGGTCCACCTCCACCACCTCCTTGGGGTTTATCCCCATCACTTCCCTGGGGTTCCCCTCCATCACCTCCTTGGGGTTTACCCCCATCACTTCATTGGGGTTGTCTCTGGTTCAGGCAACTGGATGAAAATTTCCTTCTCCACTCCAAACACGTCCCCAGCGAGGCAGGACAGCTGGATGTACCCCTAGAAAACACGGCCTTCACCACCTCCTCCTCCTCGGGGGCCACCCCGAGAGGGACCAGGCAGAGGGGAGCTCTCCTTGGCATCTCCAAAATGCAAGAGCATCTCCAGAAATGCCCTTTGCTAACGAGCAGGGTTTTATTTAACCCCCTTAGTCCCGCTGCCACCCCTTTCACCCGGGGCACCCAAGCACCTCTATCCCCCGGGATAGGGGCAGACATGGGGTTTTCAGGCAACAAGCTGACAGGTTGCAGTTTTAACCCTTTAATCCTAAAAAAAAAAAAACCTTCCCCATGTATATACGGACTTGCCCCTCCACTCCTTTGCATGCTGCAAACCCCTCCTGCAGCGACACACCAAAATAAAGTCAGTTTTTATTCCCCCCACCTCGGCAAGGCTGAAGCACCGGTCGGTCTTTCCCAGGCTGCCAAAGGCAAAAAGTGCTGCTGAGTGCCCAAAATACCCCCCAAAACGATGTGTTACAGCTCGAGAAGAAGCTGCTTTGGATGCTACAGGCGACAAGTCACGCTCATCCTCCAGCACCTTGACCTAGAGGAAGTCAAAACGCAGCCAAAAAGGATGCTCAGGGGCGGGTCAAGCACTTCTCGAGAGACGTAAATCAGCTGAATCACAGAGTTACAGCACCAGGAAAAACACGCCTGGGATGGGAGATGCTTCATGGAAACCACGCTCGTGAGTCATTCCTGTGACAAGTGGAAGCAGCAGGTGGAATTCTCGCTCCTCACGAGCCGGGTCGCGGGGCGCCCGCAGCGTCTGCAACGCTTGGTCAGCCCAGTCCTATTTAATATCTCTCGTGTTTTCTTTTGTTTTGGTTTTTATTTTTGCAAGGCACTGAATGACACCGTCCTAAATCAGTTGTTTTGTTTTTTTTTTTTTTATTTTTTATTTGCATCGGTGTAAGCTAAGTGAAGAAATATAAACATCTATCTATATAAATATATCTCTATCTCCATTAATAGAGAGGGATCTCTCGGGGTCCCCACCGGAGAAGCAGGGCTTTGAGGTTCCACCCCCCCCTCCCCCGTGCTTTGTGACGCGCGGATGTTTTTGTAAAACCCCCGGGCGGGCGGCGCATGCTCCGAGTCTGCAGTTCTGATACTTTTCTAAGTGTTCTGGTACAGATTAAAACAGATTAAGCCAAGTTTGCACCATCAGCCTCCTTCCTGAAAGCAGCTCCGGGCCCACCCCCCCTCCTTCCCCCAGAGGAGCCAGAAGCTGCCGCATTTCCTGGCATTTTGTGGCCTGTGGGAACCCTTTGTTCCACTTTCAACACCAAATTTGGCCTCAACCCCACAATCTCAACCCAACAGTCTCAGTTAACGCTTTCCCCTCCCCCTGCTCCCACTAATGGTGTCACTGAAGTCCAACAAAATATTTTCTAATTTCTGTCTAATTTCTGTTTAATAAAAGAGTTTTTACATTTGCTGTTTCAATGGCCTGACCCAAGCCCTGCTTAAACATGGAATCCTGGAATGTTTTGGGTTGGAAGGGACTTTAAAGCCCATCCATTCCCAGCCCCTGCCATGGGCAGGGACACCTTCCACTAATCCAGGTTGCTCCAGCCTGGCCTTGGACACTCCCAGGGATCCAGGGGCAGCCACAGCTTCTCTGGGAGTTCCAGCCCAGCCCCTCAACACCCTCACAGCCAACAATTCCTTCCCAATATCCCATCTCTCCCTACCCTCTGGCAGTGGGAAGCCATTCCCTGTGTCCTGTCCCTCCATCCCTTGTCCCCAGTCCCTCTCCAGCTCTCCTGGAGCCCCTTTAGGCCCTGCAAGGGGCTCTCAGGTCTCCCTGGATCCTTCTCTTCTCCAGGATGACCCCCAGCTCTCCCAGCCTGGCTCCAGAGCAGAGGGGCTCCAGCCCTGGGAGCAGCTCCGGGGCCTCCTCTGGGCTCTCTCCAGCAGCTCCAAGTCCTTCTTTGTGAGGATTGTGAGAATTCCAGGGCTGGAGCAGCTCTGCAGGTGGGGTCTCACCTGAGGGGGCAGAAGAGGCAGAATCTCCTCCTCATCTGCTGCCCAGGCTGAGGGATCAGCCCATGCTCAATAAAAATGAGTCTCAGTGCAAATAATTTCCAGCTTTACTTGCATTTTCCAACCACCACTCAACCAGAGGACCCATCCCCTGACAGACATGGCACTGAAGAGCTGCAACCCAGTGGGAGGATGAAAAATCCCCTAAAGGAAGGAAGGAAGAAATGCCCACCCCCACAAAAGAGAAGGGAAAAAAAAGATAAAAATCCCCCAAGACAATGGAGGGGAAAAAAATAACCCCTATTTTCCAAGGTGAATACATGGATATTTCCAGGAAGGGGCTGGCAGCACCTGCACAATGAATTCCCCTCGGGAAAGTTTTGACCTCGGTAGCAACATTAAAAATGCTCATTTTTAACCCAACCCCCCCCAATCTTTCCTTCCCCCTCCCAGCACAGGGAAGTTGCTCCAGCCCCCCCCAAGCAGGGCAAACACCAACCTTGGCAGTGCTCAGATGAGCTCAAAAATAACATTTCCCCCCGTTTGCACTCTCAGCACCCAATTCTTCTACCCTCCCTGGGAGTACTGGGGTTTGGGTGATTATTGGAGTTGTTTTTTGGGGGATACTCAAACAGGATATGGGGACACGATCTGGGGACACGATTTGAACCTTTTTGTCCTTCAAGGACAGTTGGATGCAACAACCCTGGAGCCCTCTTGGCCCCTCAGAGTGATCTGTTGAACCTGTTTGTCAGGATGATAATAAATAAATACAAGCCAAATAACATTTTGGGGGTTGGGTGTTTTTTATGCTCTCCTCCAAATCTCTCATCTCACGGCATTTGGCACCCCCAAAATCTCCACAAATAAAAACACCCCTCATCCCCACGAACAAACAAACATCCCCCACCCAGCCGAGACAACCGAATATATTTTTCCTGCTTAAAAAAAAAAAAAAAAAAAACAAAAAACAAAAACCAAAAACGTGAAAAGAAGAATTTTGACCTACAGTTTGCGGAGAGCTCAGGGGGAGAGGGGAAATAGTCTGACTCAGAGGATTGAAAAGCAAAGCAGGAACCCGAACCTCGTCCGGGGTGGTTTGATCCGTGCCGGGGGAGCAGCATCCGCATCTCCTGGCGAACAGCTCCATCTCCCGGCCGAGCCCAGCCCCGGCTCCAGCTCCTCCTGGGATCAGCCCTGAGAGTGTTTCACAAGGCTGGAGATCCCAAAGGATGCTCCAAAACCCGGCTGAGCTTTCCAGCTCGCTCTGTCGCTGGTTCAGAGCAAAAGGCGCGGAAATGTCTCGATGTGACCGCGACCACTCGCCTGGAAAAGCACATCCCGAGGGATCTTGGAGTCTGGAGAGATGTCCCAGTTGACCATGCAACCCCAAAATCCCCGACACAAGGTGGTTCATGAGGCTGTTAATGGCTTTTAATTCTTTTTCCTGCAGTGCAGCCCTTTGCAGGGACTGGAAATTAAACTGGGTGGGCACAGGAGCTTATCCTGGAATCCTGGAATGGTTTGGGTTGGAAGAGAACTTGAAGCTCATCCATTCCCATCCCCTGCCATGGGCAGGGACACGTTCCACTAGCCCAGGGTGCTCCAACCTGGCCGTGGAGACTCCCAGGGATCCAGGGGCAGCCACAGCTTCTCTGGGAATTCCATCCCAGCCCCTCAACACCCTCCCAGGGAAGAATTCCTTCCCAATATCCCATCCACCGCTGCCCTCTGGCAGTGGGAAGCCATTCCCCCTTATCCTGGCACTCCATGTCCTTGTAAAAGGAATCAGCCAGGGCTCTTCCCATCCCTTGACAGAGGTGAGAGCTGACTCACCTACCGGGGAGAAGATGAGGATGTTTATATCCCCAAAAAATGCCAATTCCAAGGAGAGGTGACACACTCACAAACATCCAGGCTCAAAAACCCTTCAGTGAGGACTTACCTCCTGGAGGATTTACACCTGTCCACAAGCTCCTTTGGGATTCCAAATTTTTCACTCGGTACCTCTTTATTTTCTTTTCTCACAGCGGTGTTTGAGCTGCTCAGCTAAACCAGGATTTAAGGAAGGTTTAAGCACCCCGGACAGGGATCAGAGAAGAAACCGCAGCTGCTGGAGGGCAAAACATCCCTCCCTGCTCCTTTTAAGCTCTTCCAGGGAGGGTTTGCATCCTCTCTGCCAAACACCTGAGAGAGGGTCAGTCCCAGATCTGGGTGCGTTTTGGGCAGAAGATGTTAAAGATCGGGATAGCAAAGATTGGGACTGATCATGTGAAAGCCCGAGGGACGAGACCGAGGGGTGTTTGGCCCCAGGCACCACCTTCACCCCCCCGCAGCATCCCTTGGAGATGTGGCGCTTCGTGGAGTTGTTCCTGGTGCTAAAGACGAAGGATTTGGCTAAAAACAGAGGATGTCTCAAGGCCAAACTTTATTGCAAGGCAGAGGGGTCCATTTCCAAGCCCCACATCCCCCCTCCCCGCAGGTCCCAGCGCTCTTTCGGGGGGAAAGGAGCGGTTTCTTTGGCAAAGCCGTGCCATGGGAAAGCAGAGCCTAGCGCTGGCGGGGCCGCTCCAGCGTCACTCCAGGTGCAGGTATCCCCAGGTCCTCGCAGGGCTGGATTCTCTCGCGTAGGTGCCCGGGTGGATGGGGGTTCCAGGATCCACCCAAGCTCCCAGTTGTCCTCCTGAGCACCGGGATGGCTGCCCAGCTCCGGGTAGAGGAGCGGGGGCGCTGAGGCAGTCACGGAGCATCTCTTCCACCTCCCCCCTCAAGCCACATCTAATCTCCCAGGAAAGTCACCCGCTGAGCAATCCCGGCGGGTCGGGCCGGCCGGGGGTCCCGGGGTACCCTCGGCGGGCTCAGCGCTGCAGCCCGTGGCTGACGAGGCAGGCGGTGGATGCCAAAAGCAGGGCCAGGCCGATGCCTCCGCGGTGCCGGGGGGCTCGGCTGGGGGGTCCCCGCTTGCCCCCCACGTCCGGCCAGCTGGCGGCGTGGAACCCGCCCGCGGGTGGGGGCTGCCGGGCCGCGGGGATGCCGTGACCGAGGCGGGACGGGCGCGGGCGCCCCAGCAGCCCCATCCCATAACCCGCGGCGGCCCCGGCCGCGATGGCTCCGGCCACCTTGGAGCCGCGCCCGGGGGTGCCCCCGCCGCGGGACACGGCGCGGAAGCCCCCGCGGAGCCCCCCGGCCCCTCCGCTGCCGCCGCCGCGACCTCCGGGTCTCCCACCGCCCCCGCGGCGGCCGCCGGCGACGTCGCTGAAGAGGGCGAGGAGCAGCATCACCACCCAGCACCAGCCGTCCAGGGGCCTCATCCTGCCCCGCCTGCGAGAGGGGCACAAGGAGGGACGGTGAGAGCGGGGACACCGCCCGGAGCAGCGCCCGGGGGCCAAGGGTCGAGGGGGTGGCGGGGATCCCCATCCAGGGGGTGGCAGGGATCCCCATCAAGGAGTTCGCAGGGATCCCGGATCCGAAAAGGGTCGCGGGAATCCCGCTCCGAGGGGTTCACAGGGACCGCGATCGGAAGGAATTAAAGGGATTCCGCTCTGAGGGGTTCGCAGGAATCCCGTTCCGAGGGGGTCACGGGGTTTTCCCGAGCCTTGGGCCAACTTACCTTTAATATTGTTGTTGATGTATAAATTTTTATATATTTTATGCCCCTGTATATTTTATATATAATATATTTTTATTTCTATAAAAATATCTCATTTATATATATATTATATATATAATATATCTATATATCTAGTTTATTTATTTATATACTATTTTTATTATATACTATTATTACATATTACATGTTATAAAATTGCAATATATATTGCAAGCGCTGATTCAAAGCTGAAGTGGAGCTCGAGAAAGGGAAATGGATGACCTTTTGGCCCAGCTGGAAGCAAAATTACAGGAATAATGCTAAGAATGGAGGAGAAAAGCCTGCAGCAATGAGAAGAAAGGCATAAGGCTGAAACACTAGGTTTCATTTTGTATGGAAACATGGGTTCGGGAGAATTTCGGATTTTATATATTCATATATATATAAATGTGTGTGTAATATTCATATATTTGTATAATTATATATATTTATATATAAATATTTGTATATAATTTCGTGGTTTATATATTTATATATAAATATAGTATATTAATATATAAAATATATATTAATATATAAAATATATACTATAAATATAATCTATAATACATAATGTATAAACGGATATATAGTATATATTGTATTATGTGTTATATAATATATATGATATTAAATATAATTATATATTTTTCTATTTTATATATTTGTATTTATATATAAACTAATATATATATTTATGTATAATTTGTACTGATTTAAGTACACTATACATAGTTAATACACAGTTTCTACTGGAAGGTGTCCCTGTCCATGGCAGGGGGATGGACTAGATTATCTCTAAGGTCCCTCCCATCCCAACCCATTCCATAATTTAATGTATTATTGCACGCATTTACCGCTGCCCACGTATTAATAAACAGGGCGGGTGGGCGCCGCTGTGCAAACAAACACTCCCGACTCTCCCACCAAATTCCCACCTTCATTCTCCCACCCCACTCGCAAAGCTCGGGAGCACCGGGACGCGATCCCCCCGCCCTGCAGCCCCCGCAGCCGCCGGCTGAGCAAACAGCCCCATTGTACGGAAGCTGCTGAGCCATCGCCGCCCCAAAACCGGCCCAAACCCAGCCCGAGCCGTGTTGACAAAAGCCTTTTGAAAAGGCAGAGCCCCCCTGGCCGCGGCTTCCCTGTGTCAGCGATTCCCTCCCCCGCTGGAAGGTGCCAGGCCTGACACCCCGATCCCCATCACTCCTCCCAAACCCAGCGCTCCAAACATTAAAACCTGGCTTGATTAATTTAATTTGCCTCGTTTCGCTGCCCTCCTCCTCCAGCTGAAGGGTTATTTTAAGGAAAGCCCGGAGAAGTTTTCCCTTTCCAGGTGTTTGCAGCTGCATCACTGCTGGAAACACCACAAAACCGGGCAGCAAACCCTCTAAAATTAAATGCATAGATTTCTCCCTCCCTCTTTATTCCCCCGAATAATATATATATATATATTATATATATATATCCAGACTTAGGGATCACCAAGCAGGGAAAAATCCCAGCGCTGGCGCCTCCACGGGCTCCCCATTCCACCCTCCAGCTCAGGTGTGGGTTAAACCCCTCCACTTTTCGCCATTCTCTCTGCCCAATTCCTTCCCTTTTAACCCCAAAGCCCGTGCCGGGGGTGCCGCCCTTACCCCCGGTGCTGTGCCGGTGATGGCTCTTCCCGTCTGTGCCCGCCGGGCTCGGCTCCCACCGGACTTTTCCCGGTGGATAAACGGAGCCAACGTCACTGGGGAGGGATAATTGGGCTTCAATGGGCTGGAAAACGCCGGGCCAGCGGCTTCGGGGAGACAGCAAAGCGTGGTTGGGATGACCTGGGGGTGGGGGAGGATGTGCAGGAGGACAAAATAAAATTAAATATATCGAGAGTTTTACCTCGTGGAAGAGAAATATCCAGAGGATGAAGCTTGCCCACCACAGTGCTTATGGGTAAATAGGGATAAATAGTCACTGAAGGCTGGAAAAGCCCTAAACCAGACCAATATTACCCCCAAATCCTCCAGTAATTTAGTTCTGAGTCTCCAAATCTGCAGGGCAGGGACCATTTGTCCTTGGGAAACTTCTCCACTGGGACTCAGGTAGGTTTTGCTCTTCCCCCTTGTCACTGCCAGCCCCCATGGAACCCATTCCCATGTTATTTCTATCCCCAGATTGCTTTATTTTGGACAAACCAGGCTCCAACTCAGGGTTTTTATTCTGTATTAAGTTGCTACATATTTTATTTTCTTGTTAATCCACGCAGCAATGCCACAATCATCCTTCAAACACAGAAAAGGCTCCTCTCGCTGTACAACACTTTCCTGAACACTTGTTAGAGGTGGAAAAGGTACCATTAAAATTAAAATTTAAAAAAAAAAATTACAAAGATACATTGCAAAAACTCAAAGGGAGGGAGAAAGTCAGAGTTTTAGTTCACGCCGAGGTATAAAATTGGTATTGCTGGTTTAGCCTGGGAGGAAAGAGGTTTTTTCCAGGTGATGGTGGTAACAGAGCCAGTCTGGTTTCACCAGGATAATGTGCTGGCACTGCTGGAAGATGGATTTGGAAAATAAAATCCTCTTTATTTCTGTCTCCTCCTCCTCCTCCTGTCTCCCTCCCTTTCCATCCAGCATCCCTTGAGATGCCCCCAACTATCCCTGCGAGTGCTATTTGGCATTTACAGCTACCAGAGAGGTTTGACATCACGGTTTCCTTAAAAATCCCTAATATTAGTGCAAATTAGAAAGGGGGAGGGAGGGGGATGATGCGACCGGGTGCAGGTTTGGGGAAGGTGGAGGGAAAAACGAGATTTACTCCCGTGCTGGAAAATCCACCGGGCCAGGGTTAAACCTCCCCCACCGAGAAAAATCTCAGTCAACCCTTTGGATTTACAAAAACCTTCCCGTCACCTGCGAATTATTGCAAAGAGAAATGTGCTTTTCTTAAGGGGGGGGAGGAAAAAAAACAAAAAAAAAAAAAAAGAAAAAGAAAAAAAGAGAGAGGAATGATTTGATCATTTGTGCTCTCCTGCCACCGAGCAGTGCGTTTCTCTGCGTGGGCGTCCCCAAACTCAGCCCCAAATTCCCTCTCTGGAACGCCCTCGTTGTGCTGCTCATGGATTTCCTCTCTCTTTTTTAAATTTTTTTCTTTTCTTTTTTTTTCTTTTTCCCCTCCCCTGTTTTTCCCTGTGTGTTTTCCAGGGATCTGAGGTTTTGGCTGAAGCTGCCACCAGCCAGAGCCGTGCTGGGAAGAGCCCCGCGCGCCGAGGAGGAACCTCCCGAGGACGCTACGCTGATGAAGGCTCAGAGCTGGAGCGATCCAGGAGGACACTGGGAATGTTCTGGGAGCGCTGGGGCTTTGGGATTTGGTACAGTACATCCTGCAGGCACAAGGGTCTCACATCGCAGTCGGACCTTCCGAGATCTCCTCCAGCCTCTGCTTGATCATCACCCGGAGGATGGTGTACCTGGGCGGGCACGTGGAAAGGGAAAGGGGAATTTTCGGCACCAAGCTGGCCAAGAAAACCCCGGAATGGCGCAAACCCCGATGGCTCTTGCACACATCAGGAATTTCTGGGACCAAACAGCCCCCTCAACAACGTCCTTCCCTCTCTCACGCCCCTCGGTGCCACCAGCCCGACGTACCTTTGCATCAGCTTCTTCACTTCGCGATCCTCCTCCTCCTCCAGCTTCTGGATGAAGCTCCTGAGGATGGGCATCTCAAACTTGATGTACTGAGCGACCTGGATGGGAGAGAAATGGCACGAGGGGTGAAGAGGAGGGTGATGAACCGACCCCGTGAGGCCAAAGGCAGCGTCTTCTCCCTGGATTTTGGTCCAGGATCCCCCAGTTTTTGCAAGAATCCTAAAAATGGGATGTTTCCTCTGCTCAGTGGAGCTTGTGCAACGATTGAGTGCTGGATAATTATTGGGACAATCTCCACCACCACCTCCCCCACATTTATAAATTTTTTTATTTATATTTGTTTTAATTTACCCACTGGTTGCAAGTCGTGGCTCCATCAGTCAGAGCCCTGAGCATCCCCAGCATCTCAGAGAGCGTATTTAAGCCCAAATATACCCTAGAAATGCCTCATTTGAGCTCGGATTTCCCAGCAGGGTAGCCCTGGGAAGCCGGCAGATGGCACAGTGGAGCTTTCCCAGCTGGAGAAAATCAATTCTGCCACAGGCTGCGCTGAAATCACTCTCCTGTGAGCAGATTTGGGATGGCACAATAGGGCCAGGGGTGTTGGCTCTGGGTTGGAGTTGGAAGCTGCTCTCAGGGCACAAAACGAGGCTTTTCCCATAAAATGGGGAGTTTTCATGGCAAGGTGCAGGAGCAAAGCAATTCCTGCAGTCCCAGCGCACGGAGACATCCGTTCATTGGGAAGAAATCCTTCCCTGGGAGGGTGGTCACAGGCTGGGATGGAATTCCCAGAGAAGATGCGGCTGCCCCTGGATCCCTGGGAGTGTCCAAGGCCAACCTGGCCCAGTGGGAGGTGTCCCTGCCCACGGCAGGGGGTGGACTGTGATGGGCTTTGAGGTCCCTTCCAACCCCAACCATTCCATGACTCTGTGACCCCCCAGTTTTCCCAACCCCCCCAGGAGCGATGACCCCCCCTCTGTGCCAGCTCTACTCACGTCATAGGTGACCTCCTCCACCTGGTCCTTCTCCATGAGGAAAACCTTGGAGACCTGCTCGCAGGGGCCCTGCAGCACCCGGGCGATCAGGGGGTAATCACTGCCCCGCAGCTTCTGCTTCTCTGCAAGGCCAAGACCACGGAGTCAGGCCTGGGACACGGGGGACATTGCCTGGGACAGGGGGACACTGCCTGGGACATGGGGGGCAGTGCCTGGGACACAGGGGACACTGCCTGGGACATGGGGGACACTGCCCAAAACATGGGGGGCAGTGCCTGGGACACAGGGGACACTGCCTGGGACAGGGGGGACACTGCCTGAGACAGGGGGGACACTGCCTGGGACATGGGGGGACACTGTTGGGACATGGGGGACACTGCCCAACTGAGCCAGGGTGGCCCCGGGGAGTTTGTGCCGCTCACCTCCGCTGGTGTGGACGATGTACAGGGCAAACTCCTCCGCCGAGTTCTCGATCTGGGGACACACAGAAATCACCGTCAACCCTCCAGGTTTTACCCCCGGGGGTTTTCCACGGGATTATAAACAAACCCACGCTATTTTGCTGTGCTGTTGCATTTTATGGATAAATCCTGCTATGTATAAAGATGTTTATATGTAATTGTTGAAATATATCAAAGTATTTATACAGTAATGCAGTGAATTAATTAGAGTGGGAAATTAATAAATACAATATTTGAATGTGATATTGTACATAATGGCATACATGAGAGACATTTATATATATACACATAGATTGATACACATATATAATTATTAAAATTATTATAATGATATATAGTGTGTGTTATATATACTAATATATAATATACACTAATTTACATATATATACTATACAATAAATGTTATATGTATAGTATATCTATAATATACTATCTATATTATCTCTATATAGCATATAGATATAATATACTATATATATAATATATAATATATATAATATATATAATATATAATATATATAATATATATATTATATATATGTATATATATTATATATATACTATATATGTATATATATACTATATATGTATATATATACTATATATGTATATATATAGTGTGTATATATAATATACTATAATATAATATAATATAATATAATATATAGCATAAGAGACTACATCTAGTATATATAAAATACTACATAATTATTATAAAATATTTTAAATATAAGATATTTATTCCATTCTATTCTATTTATTAATATATTAATTACCAATATATTAACATGTAATTTAACATATCAGTATGTTAATAATTCATTTATTTAACCTAATTTAATGTATTAATAATTAATATATTGATTGTTAATAGTATATTAATTAATATATATTTACAAATATATATAATTAGAAATATATTAATATATAAATATATTTAAATTATAATTAGTATGTTATTTAATGTTTTATATTATATAGCATGTAATATGTAATATATAATATATGGTATATAATTCATAAAATGAAAACATTTTAAAACTGCCTATTTTATATCCATAAAACCCCCATGCAGAGCAACCCAGGAGCCTCGGGGAGGGAGGCAATTGACGCACCTTGAATTTGTTGAGCAGCAGCTTTAGGACCTGGGGGGTGGTCATGGTGCTGTTGATGCGCACGTTGGTGACGGAGCCGTAGGCGGGCGTGAACACGGAGGTCTGCGGGGCACAAATCCCGGTGAGAGCCCGTCCCTGGAGCCCCCCCCGGGTCCCGGCGGGCCGGGGAGCGGGGTTGGGCTCACCTTGTGGTTGTAGAAGTGGCCGTTGATGGAGAAGCGGTGCCGGCGGATGCGCCGCTGCTCGCCGGCCGTGCGGGCGCTGCCGCGGGGCCTCACGCCCACATCGCTCCGCGTCCGCATCAGCTGCGGGGCATCCTCCGCCGGCCTGGGGGCTGAGAAACATCCCGGGACAGCCGGCTGAGAACACCCCCGGGGCTGCTCCGCGGCTCCCGGAGCCTTCAGACACCGCCCCGGGCACGGGGTGGGATTGCCGGGTGTCTGTGCAGGGCCAGCAGCGGGATCCATGATCCATGGGGGTCCCCTCCCACTGAGGATATTCTGCGATTCCAGACTCTTCCTGCTGCTGGGAGTCTCCCCACGGATGCAGAAATCCTCATCCCAGGAACCCAGCCCCATAAACCTCCCAGGAACCCAACCCTACAAACATCCCAGCACGCACTGAACCCCCCAGTTTGAACCACAGCAACTGCTTTATTCAACCCCAGCTCCTGAGGAGGTGGTTGATTCCTGAATCTTCCTGCTGCTGGGAAGCCAGTCCCCCCATGGATTTCCTGGAGTTAGATCAGTGATGTTGGGTCCCTCCCAACTCAGGATACTCTGTGATTCCTGAATCTTCCTGCTGCTGGGAGTCTCCCCATGGATGCAGGAATCCCCATCCCAGGAACCCAGCCCTACAAACTTCCCAGGACACTTTTAACTCCACCAATTCAAACCACAGCAGCCTGCTCATTCTCCTCCAGCTCCTGAAGGTGAGTCCTGAATCTTAGGATTCAGGAATCAATAGGGAGTTCCCCCACGGATGCAGGAATCCCCATCCCAGGAAACCAGCCCTACAAACTTCCTAGAACACATTTAACCCCCTGAATTAAAGCAGACCAACTGGTTTATTCTCCCTCAGCTCCTGAAGGAGGTGATTAATTCACAATTAACTGCCTAAATCCGTGCTGCTACCTGGCTAAAACCTCTTCTCCCGGGAGCTCGAGCATCTTCCCTGCCTTTTCCATAATTTAACTTTCTGTTTTCTCCCTCCCTTTAATGAGAACAGGCAAACTGGGGCAGTGCCTCAGATCTCTGCGTGAAAACTGGCCTGGATCCAGATTATTATAAACCAGCTCTTCATCCATTTTTAATGAACCTCTCGGGCTCCAGCTTTGGGTGTTTTAATTCAAAGCATGTCTGCAGCAGGGAAAAAGCTCTGGGACACGCTGCTCCAGAGTCACACACGGTGACTAAGCACTCCTGAGGAGCCAGGAATGACATTGGGAGCTGAGTTCTACTGGATTTTAGGGAAAAATGTAATAAAAGGCTTTTTTATGTGCTGGCAGATTAAGGTCATAGGGCTGAGAGAGCTGCTGGGCAATTGCAGTGGGGTGATGTGGGGTAGGGATGACCCAGGAAAGTTTTAATTAAGGGAGGAAAAGTGTCATGAGTGGGAAGATCAAAAACAAAAAGGGAAAAAGCTGGAGGGTCAGGGATGGGGGTTCAGGGATCAGCGAGTTTTGCAAGGGCTCAGCTCCTCCCTGAGCTGGGATGTGGAGGAACATCCCAGAGTCAAAAGGAGGAGTTGGTTCTTCTCTGCCACCTGCCCAAAATCACCCCCAAAACCCAGCACGTCAGAACGCCCTGAGTGAGCGAGGAAAATAAACCAAAGCAGGTTTTTCCCTGCGGGAATTCCACCCTGAGTCCCGTCCCTCGCTGGCCCCGCTCGGAACAAGGGGTTAATGAAGCGCTGGCCGAGCTCTTCCCCCTCCACAGAGGAAAAACCAGGGAGGGGACAAACACTTTGCAGCTCTGTTGACTTCCCATGGTAACGGCGCTTCCCAAAGCTCCCTTTCTTCTGCCCCAAAAGCGGAGCCTCCGGCAAGGGGAAGCGCCGACATCCTTTTCCCTGCCATCCCACGAGGCTCTTTGCTCCATCCCCCCCTGTTTCTCTCCAAGCTCCTCTCCACCACGTCCCACTAAGCAAAAACCCCTGAGGAATCATGGAATCATTTAGGTTGGGAAAAAGACCTTGGAATCATCGAGTTTTGGGCCGTTTTGGGGCTAAGATCAAACAAGGTAAATAAAAGCTCTTTGGAAGTGGCTTAAAGGGACCCGGGGCAGGACGGGAAGCTGAGCCTGGAGTTAAAAACAAGCCTGGTTTGTATTTTCTCAGGTTAAACTGCAGCTGCTTCCACCCTCCTGGATAAATCCGGGTCGGATCCAAGCCCGGCTCACCTGTGCCATTCCCGGGAGCCTCCGTGTTGGGTGTGGCCTCTGCATCCGTCACCTGGATGTCGGGCAGGGTGCTGGGCTTCAGCACGGACCTGCAGGGGGGCAAAGGTGAGGGTGGTGCCCTGTCCCAGTGTGGCTGCACAGGGAATGATAATCCAGGGAATCTCGCCCCTCCCCGAGCTCCCACTCTGCTGCTTCCAGCCTGGGGAGCTGCCTGTTCTCCCGGTGGGTTTAGCAGGTAACCAGCCCTGCAGGGTCACAGCACGGGCTGGTTGCGATATAAATCCGGAATCCCATCCTGCCCCGCTCCCAAAAAATCCTTGGAGGATGTTATTCCAACTGCCCTCTTCCCAGGAAGGGATGCTGAGGTGCCAAACAGCATTTTCCTGGCTCCAGCACAAGGAAAGCAGAACCTGACTCTTCTTTCCATTGGGAGATGTCTGAAAAAACAGGAAAAAGCAGGAAGACCCTCCCCCTCTCCACAGGCACAGCAAGTCCCAGCTCCGCTGCTCCCGGGATCCAGCTGCTTCCCAGGATCCCCCGGGATCACTGGGACCACAGCAGCATCCAGCATGGAATTAGGGCTGGAACGGAGAACCAGGCGGGGCCTGGGGGGATTCCTGTGGGAAAAGGGGGGTTGTGAAGGGGAGCCCCTGCAAGAGGAGGGGCTGCAAAAGGGGGGTGTTGGCAGGGGGGTGACAAAGGGGGAATGTTTGCAAAAAAGGGGGAACAAAAAGGAGGGGTCTTATCAGAAAGGGGGGCTTAGAAAAAAACTGGGGAGTTGCAAGAGAGGGGGAGTTTAGCAAAGGGGGGGTGCAAAAAGGGGGGAGTTGAAAAATAGGGGGAGGATTGGTTTCCTTTCAAAACTAAATAGGGGATCTTGGCAAAAGGGAGGGGTCTTTGCAAAAAGAGGGGTGCAAAAAAAAAAGAAGTGTAAAAAGGGGAAAGTAAAAGGGGGATTTAGTAAAAGAAGGGGGTTTTAAAAAAAGGGGGGGTTGAAAAAAGTGGGAGATTTGCAAAAAAGGGTGGTGTGTAAAAACGGGGGGTTGCAAAAAGGGGGGTGCAAAAGAGGGGGGTCTTTGTAAAAGGGAGGTCAAAAAAATTGGGGGTCTTTGCAAAGGGAGGGGGGGACTTTTCAAAGCAACCCTCCTGCCTTTATTTCTGCCTCGGCTCCTTGCAGGTGTTGCCTGTTGGACAACAAAACACCAGAGGCAGCAGAGAGGGGGTGAACCAGCAAATCCCCACAGCCCCCAGCGGGTGGGGGGCGCTTTTGGGGGTGCTTTTTGGGGGGTGTTGGTGCCTCCCCCACCCCCAGCTCACCCGTGGGCTCCCAGGTTGCACCCTGAGTGCCAGGAGGAGGAGGAGGGGGGCGGGCGGATGCGCTGGTTGTCGTCCTGCATCTGGAGGCGGATGGGGCGCCGCAGCCCCCAGGAGATGTTCAGCAGCCCCTCCACGATGAGCTCCCCTTCCTCCTGCATCCCAAAAAAACACGGCATCGGAACCTGTCAACGTCAATAAGCCCCTTCCCACCCAAACCATTCAGCCATTCAGAGATTAAAAGGCGGTTTTTTTTTGGACACCCCCTAAATCCACTCAGTGTCACCCCGTGTCTGGGAGGGTCACGGGGGCAGATCCTCCTGGAAACTCTGGAAAATAAGGGTTGGTGACAGCCAGAATGGCTTCCCTGGGAGGAATCATGCCTGGAAAACTGGATGGCCTTCCAGGATGGGGCTACAGCGCCAGGGGGGATGAGGGAAGAGCAGCTGATCCCATTTCCCTGGGCTTGGGCAAAGCATCTGATAGGGAATTGTGACATGGAATCATGGGATGGTTTGGGTTGGAAGGGACCTTATGGACCAGTCAGGGAATTCCTTCTCCATTCGACAAATCCAGTCCCTCCAGTTCAGAGAGAGGATCCAAGGCCAGGCTGGAACCACCTGGGCAGGTGGAAGGTGTCCCTGCCCATGGCAGGGGGTGGGATGAGATGGGCTTTGAGGTCCCTCCCAACCCAACCCAACCCATTCCATGATTCCATGGCTCCCTAAACCTGTTTTCCCTCTGCCTGGCCCTCCTCACCTCCCGGTGCCGCAGCTGCAGGTTCTGCCCCTCGTAGTAGATGTTGTAGGTCTTCAGGTGCAGGAGCAGCTCATTCCTGGGGGGAAAAACGAGGGAAAGGTGCTGAGAAGAGGTTTGGAGGAAGGAGAGGAGATGCTGCAGGATCTGGGAGAAAGCAGGAATTGCTTTCCTGGTTGAAGAACCTGCTGTGCCGCTGGGGGACCCAAAAATAGCTGGATTTGAGGAAAATTTGGGTCTTTTGGCACCTCTAGACCTCCCTCGTTGAAGGAATTGGCCGTGGGTTCAACCCACAACGAGGGGGAGAAGCTCCCTGTGACCGTGGCCCCCATAAATCCCCCAAAGAGACGTAGGAAAACCCGCCAGACCTCAGGGCAGTCGGTCACAAGGTTGAAAAACAAACTTATTTTCAGGGCCCCCAAGTGTCTGGGGTCATGTGGAGTCACAAGTTCTCCCAGGCTGGTTTCTCATGTTGGCTCCAGGCTCCACAGCCCGACCTCGAGCTCTGGATCAAAGTCTGAGCCTTGTTCCGGTGGCAAAGTAACAATAAAAATAAAAATAAAGGCCAAAACGAAGGCAAAAATAAAGATTAAAATTAAAATTATAAATAAAAATCGTTGGGGAAAAAAAATAAAAATAAGCCATCCCCAGCTGGCAAACCCAGGCAGGAATCCCATTAATTCCCAAAGCTGGGCTGGCTGGGGGAGGTTCAGGACTCCCAGCACCACCAGACCATCACAAACAAGCACAAATCACGGGGATTTGAGGTTGTCAGAAGGCAAAAAGGAGAGGGGGGAATATCACAGATTGGCTTTAGCTCCTCCAAAATCTTCCCTGAAGCTTGGGAATCATTTTATTTCTTTACCAAAGAATAAAAGAACAGTTTTGAATCAGGACTTTTTCAGCAGAAGATGGGGTTTTTTTAAGGAAGTTTATGGAGCATTTGGTCACACTCCTAAGGAAAAATTCAAAATCCCATCAACAACCCTTTTTATTTCAAGAAAATCACCATTCCTTGCCCCAGAATGGCTTTTTCTTTCCAAATCCAACTGAATTGAGGGTCATTCCTGTTCTTCCAGCTCGATGGAATATTATATATTATAGGTCACAGATAATATATATATAATATTCTATATTATTATATATGATATATATGTATTGTTATAATATTATATACATAGTTATACATTACATTTTAGATTATATATTGTATATTGTATTACATATTATAGATAGTACATTCATATAATATACAGGTAGAATAAATCAATACAATAAATCAATATACTATACTACAATATAATATACCATACTCTGCTAAATATAGAATAGAATAGAATAGAAATGATATTATATGCTACAGTATAGTATATAGTATATAATATATAATATATAATATATAATATATAATATATAATATATAATATATAATCATTGTATATAAAATATATAATCAACATATATAACATATATACAGTATATAAATATATAATATATAAATAAATAGATTATATTTATATATTTATATTTTATATATAAAATTTATATATATTTAAATATATTATTATTTTTATATATTTATATTTTTTTATATATATATATATAAAATGAACATATATTCCCCCTGGAACATTCCAAACAAGCTCCCAGCCCCTCCCATGTTCCAGAATTCCAGCCCTGCTGAGTCTCTTACTTGGAGATGAATTTATCTTTCCCACAGGGAACCAGGTCCTCTCCACCTCCGTAATCCATCCCCCCACACTCCTGTCATGGGAGCTGAGCTGGAGAGAGGGAGGAGAGAGGAACATCAGTGAGAGCCCCCCCATTCCCACATCCCTCACCCCCCACCCATGGAAAACTGAGGGACAATAAACCCCCTGGGGTCTGGAAGAGCTCCTGGGAAAAGGCTCCAGAGGACACAGATCTTGATGTGGCTTCTCCAGGGAAAATGATGGGAAAGGAGGGAGATCAGATAAGGGTGAGGAGTCGTAAACTCACTGAAAATTTAATCCCGCTGGATTCACTTACACGGAATTTGCATGTGGAGCATCCATGGATGTCCCTGTGCTGCCAGACAGGGAGGTGGGAGGGTTACAGGTGGGAGTTGCTCCTTTTGCTCTATTTATTTTACTATCATTTTATTCTACAAGGCTCTGTACATGGAATTCTGGGTCCAGCTGCTGCTTCCCTGTGCCATCCCAAACCCGGTGGCGGCACAAGGGATGGTTTTCCAAGCAGCCAGAGATGCTGGGCTGGTCCTTCAGGGTTTTTTTTTTAACTCTGCCAGTTGGATTTTTGTGCCAAAAATCCAGCTCCACTGCTCTTGTGCAAAACACTTGGAAAGTCCCCCCGAAATCCCGCCTTGGGACTGGCCCTGGCTTAGATCTCTGGGGTGATTTTTGGATGCAGTGAAGTGGAATTAAAATGGGCTTTGGGGTGAAGACCTTGGAGCACTTGTGGGCTCGGAGCACTGCAGAAATCAGGTGCCAGAGAGACCTTGAAATGCAGCACTGGGGCAGTTCTGAGGGATGAAAAAGGGCTCCTCAGGCCCTGCTTTTCCTTGGATGTTTGTGCCCCCTCCCCTGCAGATGGGCTTCCCTTTTCCCAGGCTCTCTCCACTCCCTTCCCTGCTCCCCAACGAGAAACTGAGGCGAGAAAAAAAAACCCCTTCACTCTGCAAACCCTCGTTTTCTTCCACCTCCCACATCACCATGTGCTTCCTCCCAGCCCCCTGGGAAACAAACCCCTCTTCCTGCAAGGAAAACACCCAACCCCACACCAGATGCAGGCAGAGAAACGACTCAAACCTGTGTGGGAGGATGAACCTGCCCCTAAAACCAGAGTGGGGATAAATCCCAGCAAATAAACGACTGGCAAGGGCAGAAGATTCTCCCTGACGTGTTTCAAACCCCAGAAGAGGCTGCAAAGGCCACGCTGGAGGTGGAGCAGGAGGGGAAGGGCAGGAAGCTGCTCTGGCCTCGGAGAAAAAGCAGAAGAGAAACTCAGCACTGAAAACCCCAGCGGGGCAGCGGAAGGGCTGACAGAGCTTTGGGCTTCCTGAGGAGCTGAGGAGCCCCAGGAGAATCCCGGGAAAACCTGGCAAAACCAGGCAAAACCCTCCTCCTGTGGCTGGCAGCCGCCTCTCCGCATCCATCCATCCTCCCACAGGGAATAAACCCAGCAATAATCCTATTTATCCCTCAGAAATGAGAGTGGGAGGGGATTTTGCAGCTGGCTTCAAGGTTTTGGGATAAATGTCAGTGCTTGTGGGGACCCGAATTTGGGGTTCAGCACCTGTGAGATGCAGGAATGAGGATCTCATGATCCTGACAGCAAATGGCAAAGCTCTGGACTTGTCCTGGGAGGATTAAAGGACAGGGCTGTTGGCTCAGGCAAAAATGGTGCCAGAAATACCAAAGTGGCCGAAAAAAACCTCAAAGTGGCTGAAAAAAACCTCAAAGTGGCTGAAAAAAACCCCTCCTACAGCAGCAGAGCCCCGGGTGGAGCCTTTGGTATCACATGGAGATTCACTCTGGAGCATCACAGCGATGCAAAGGGGTAAAGCCAAATCCCTGGATCCTTGAAGGGGACATGAGCTGAACTCCAAACATAAAAAAAAGTTCATTTTGGGGTGGAAGGGGAGCTCCAAAAGGCAGGTTCATCCTCCTGTGCTGAGGATCCTGTTTCCTGTTTACGCCCCGGCGCTGCCACCTTCGCCTCCGTCATCACATCCCCTTCCGAGCAGCAGGAAAGGGGCAAATTCTTCCTTTTTTGGGTCTGGAGAAGCTCTGGGAGGAGGGTGGAGGGGAACAGAGACCCAGCCAGAGAGCAGCCACTGCTGAGCCCCCAGTATTCCTCCCAGCTCTGGCAAAAGGCTGGAAATCACCCCAGCAGAAGGGCTGGCCAAGTGCAAGTTGCCCAATTGCCCGGCCAGGGCAGCTCAGCACCATCCACTTCCCCGGCCCTGCCGTGCCTCAGTTTCCCCATCCTGAGCTGACGCATTTCCCCCTGGCCCTGCCCAGGCTGAGCTTCTGCTGAGGCCTCACAAAGTGCTTTTGAACCACCAGCAGATAAATCAATGCCCTGCCCCCGTGGCAGGAGGATTTCAGCCCTCTCTGCCTTCCAGCAGCAGCTGCTCCTGCCAGTTCTTTCAAGGCATGACCCACCCCCACGGCCCCCAGATTTATTCTCCTCCCTAAAAACCACCTCCCTAAGCTCTTTCCCACATCCCTAAAGCCCCGAGTGCCCCGTGGGGCAGAGGGAGCCTGGTCATGCTACCAGCCCCTCACACGGAGAAGGGATGAGCTCTCACTTCTGCCGAGCTCCCAGGGAGATCCACAACTCAAACACAACAACAAAACAAGGGGAAAAGTAGGAACATCCCCCTCCTGCCCCCTCAGTATTGTGTTTTCAGCAGGAGAGGGATGCTCGACCCTGCTTCTGCAAAGAAATCAGCATTTTTGGGAGGGGTGCTGTCTTGTTCCCCCCCCGGCAGCGCACGGAAGCTTTGGCTGCATCCCCGGCCGATCCCGCCGAGGCGGATTTGGCGCAGCTGAGGCTCCCCCCGGCCGTGCGAGGGATTGTGGGAATATCCCTCTCCCCGGGGGAGGCCACGACATCCCCTCCTGCTCAAACCCCGCCGCGTCCCCGCAGCCCAGGGCGGCTTTTACCCGGCCCAAGGGCGCTTCGATCCCGCCGCGATCGGTAGCAAAAGCATCATCCGGAGGCGACAATTCCTCCCGGGAGCCTCCCCCAGGCTCCGCTCAGCAGATGGGATACGGCGGGATAGGACAGGACACGACACGGCCGAGCGCTCACCCCGTCCCGGCTGATCCTTCGCGGTGCTGGCGATGGGGGCTCCGGCCCAGGCGCTACTCCGGGGCTGGGATCCCTTCCCCGCGTCCTTCCCGCATCCCTACGCGCCAAGGTGCGGCAGCTCCATTGTTTTCCAGCGCCGCTATTGTTCTCCAGCCCAATTGCTCCGTCCTGGAAGGGGAAAGGGGGAAAAAGGAGGGGAGCGCTGAGCGCTGGCGCAGCCGGCGGTGCCACCGGGGCGGGGGACACTCGGGGACAGGCGAGGGGATCCATCGCACTCTCAGCAGGTGGGAGCCACCCCGGGTGGAGCCTGTGGCCACCAAGGGCTTGTCCTGGGCTACCGACCCGCAGCGGGCGGGTCCCGGCGGGGCCGCCGAGAAGGTGCCGTGCCCGGGGTGGGACCCGAGGGCGCTGCGGCTCCGGCGGGCCCAGCACTGGAGAGGGATGCTGAGGGTGAGCGGAGGGTGCTGAGGTGTCACCCCGGGGTTTGGGGGGCCGGATAAGTTTCCGCTCCCCGCGGCGAGCGCGGCTTTCACCTCCTCCGTTCGCGGTGATAGCGGGGCCGCGGCTCAGCCCCGGGGCCGCTCCCCGCGGGACGGGGATGGCGGTGGGGATGGAGGACAGGACGGGGATGGGGATGAGGATGGAGACGCCCCATCCCGGCCGCACTCACCCGGTGCCGGTGCCGGTCCCGCTCCGCAGCCGGTGCCCCCCAAGGGCCGCCCCTGGGCGGGGCGGGGCGGGACGCGACGGGGAGGGGCGCGGGCGGGGCCGCGGGGGTGGGAGCGCGGGGGACACCCCCCCTTCGGCTCCAGGGTCATCCCGGAACCCGGATCCCAAGGGACAGCCCGGCGCCGGGATCCCTTTCCGGGGACCAGGACTGGCGAACCCAAAGGTGCCCGGTTTGTCCCCGCGCGGACCGGAATCCCCAAGGATGCTCCGTCTCGTAGCCCTGGTTCAGGCTCTGGCTTCTCAAAGGACACTGTTTCTGGCACCCGGGTTGCGCCCCAGGACCAGGATCCCAAAGGATGCTCCATCCCCGCTGCCAGGAGCAGGATTCCAAATGAATCCCCATCCCACGCATCCAGGCTGGAAATGTTCTTATAATCAGCTCCAGCTCTATGCACAATTCCCAGGAGCCTTTTGGGCTGTATCACGCAGGCTAAAGTGGTTATTTCTACCTTAAAATGCCCCAAATCCCGGGCTATCCAGTGCCAGAGCCGGGCAGGCATCACCCTCTGCAGTTCTGCCGTCGGGACAGAGCGATGGAGCCTTGCACCGCTTCCCAACCGCGGCCGTGGGATCCCCCTCCGGATCCAAAACCACCCCCGAAAAGAAGATTTGGGAGGAAATAAATGCAAATAAAATCTGCCTGGAAGCAGCTGTTGCAGCTGGGGGTCACAGTTACCTCTGACCTGGTGCTCAGCATTCCCGGGAGGGGGGTCCCATCCCGCCCGGCCGGCCCCGACACCGCGGGGGCACCTCGGGGGAGGTTGGGGGTATTCAGTATTCCAGAGGAGCAGGGGCCGTGTCCCTCCTCCTTTGTCTGCTCCTGACCTTTCCCAGTGCCGTGTGGTTCCTCTGGGCTTTTTTTTTTTTTTTCTTTTGAAGGAATTTGCTTAGAAACAGCCCACACGAAGGGGAAAAAAATATCCCAAAACAAAGAAATAATCTAAGCAGCTGCCTGAGCCAAACAGGCGTCTCTGCAGGCACGGGCTGGACTCAGCCTTTTTTTCCCCCCGGTTTTCTTGGATTTGGATGTAAAATATGAGAAGTTCTGGAGGAGCCATCTGGCTGGAGGAAGGACTGACTCGGTGAAAGTGAGCCAGGCTGGTCGGGATTGATATTCCAGCAGCATCTCGGGGCTGGCGGGATCAGAGGCCCCTTTGTCGTGGGAAGAGCCCGGCCAGGCTCACAATGGAGCAGAGAAATCCCAGGGATTTCACCCCAAAGAGAGGATTCTACCGACCCCCAGCTCGTGGGATGGGTGCAAAGGGAGTGAAAAGTAAAAGTTAACAGAGGTTTTGGGGTGGGCACCTGTGGGAGCACGGGGGGATTTGGCTGCAAATTTGGGTTGAATCCTGGTTTTGTGATGTGCTGTGGTGGGTTGGGAAGGCTCGAGCCTGGATGGAGGGATTTAGTCATCAAGTATAAGGAATTTGACTCTGTCCTGCTCTGTGGACACCCTACAGTGTGAGAGGCCAGGCCAGGCTGCCAGGGCCTCCTTCTCCATAGAGGAGAGGGATCCATGAGGAACCAAATCCACGTGGAACCAAACCCACATGGAAGGAGACCAAAGCTTCCACTCTCCCTCCCTGGAGCCTGAGCATCCCTCCAGGCTGCTGAAAATCTCCCAGGAAGAGGCAAACAGGGATGCTCCAGCACCTGTTCTGCAGGTGAATTCCTTGAATCCTGCATTTCTGTGCCAAATGCCACACAGGGATCGCAGCTGATGCCTTTTGAACTGTCATCTTGGAGGGATTTGCTCCCACCAAGGACCTCAGTCAGGCCTCAGCACGAAGCACCAGCTCCCAAACTCTCCCAAATTCAGTTATTTCCTCCCAGACCGAGCAAACATCCAAACCCCCTTCCCTGCTGCCTTGGCAGCTTCCCCTCATTTCAGCTTCCAGCCCCCCTGAGCTGATGGTCAGCAAACGCCGAGCGCTTTTACTGGGATCCACGTTTGTCTGGGAGCATCTGGGAGCTCTTACAGAGCCTCTGGGAACCAGATGGGAAGAGATGTGGCTCTGAAAAAACCGGACCTGAAGTGGTTTTCTCTGCCTCACAGTTGCTGCCCCTGTTTAAAGACGTTTCAGTGGTTCCGAAAATCCTCAAATTCCGGGATTCTGCCCCAGATAAATAAAGCCCTCCGTGGGTTGAAGCTGAATGTTGATTTGGGCAAAACACAAGGAGAAAACACAATTATTCCCTCAGCTCTGGCCCAGCAGCACAGGGGATTAGTCAGGATTAAGATCAGAGGGGTTTTCATCACAGACCCAAACCCGGAGCGATGAGGAATCCCTTGCCCTGGTCACACAGCTGCTCCACTGGCTCGGATCCCACACCCACTTTCCCCTGCTCTCACCGCCAGTTGGGATTGACTTTAGGGCCATTTTATTTCCCATATGAGGACTGGGCAGGAAGAGCCTCTTCCCAATAAATCCCACAATTTAATGTGTCCATGAGCTGGGGGCTGAGAGCTGGCAGGCTCAGGAAGGTGTTTGGGGTTGTAATTTTTGGGTGGCACTTGCTCCAAAGGGATTCCCATCACCTGGACTCCCAAATCGTCGATTCTCAATTAGGAAGAAATTCTTCCTTGTGAGGATGGAATGGCTGGGATGGAATTCCCAGGGAATGCTCCATCCCTGGAAGTGTCCAAGGCCAGGCTGGAGCAACCTGGGCTGGTGGAAGGTCTCCTTGCCCATGGCAGGGGGTGGAACTGGATGGGCTTTAAGGTCCCTCCCAACCCAAACCATTCCAGGATTCTCCAATTCCACGATTCTCCCTCAAAAGGCATGTTTCAAAGGAACTGTAACACCACCACATTGCATCTATGCCCGCGTTTATTTATACTGAACAGCTTTAAAAATACAGAATAAAATAGCTTTATCTACTATTATTCACAACATCTGGTCCAAATATTACATTTTTAAATATTTAGTTGTTTAATGAAGCAATGTTAGAAAAAAAAAAACAACAAACAAAACCAAACCATGAAGTAAAAAAAAAACAACCAAAACCAAAAACCAAAAAACAAAACCAAACCAAAACTCCATAAAAGAATTACACATCTTGGAACAACAACAACAACAACAGAAAAAAAAAAAATCAAACAAACCCCTCCCCCCCCCCAAATAAACTCTCGCTGTTTAACAAAAAAAAGTTTTACAGCCAAAGTCAGTCACAAAAAGTCGTGGGAAAAGAAAATTTATCCCCACTGCCTAAGAACAGTCAATAGTTTGTTACGCCAGAGGTTGTTATGAACAGACAAATACAAGAATTTGGACTGGCAGCAAAGATGATTGACCTGGAAAGGTGGAGGAAAAGCCAGAGTACACAAGGCAAGTCGAGATTTCCCTCTGATATCCACAGGTACGGATGGCAACAGCCACAGGCAGATGGGAACCAGCCAGGGATGCTCGGGATGGCTCCCAACACGGATCCCAACACTTGGAGCAGCCCAGGGAGTCCCTGGGCACTCGTGGCCTCCCTGACCCCACAGTGACCCCACAGCTCCAAAAACACAGAGAAACCTGCCCCAGGTGGGACCACAGCTCCCCCTGCTCCGGAAAAACCAAAGAGAAAGGAAAGTCAAGTCGCTTTTGGTTGCAAAAGGCCACGAGAAAGAAACGTGAAGGTCGTGCTGGTCTCACGCGCGCGTTCCACGCACCGACAGATCGATCGTTCCACGCACAGCTGGGGTGGGTGGAGGCAGCCAGGGCTGGCCCAAACCATCACACACCAGGGGTTTTGGGGGGGCCACGTGTGCCTGGAGTGCTGTTTCACACCCGAAATGACAGGATTTCCACACTTTTCTGGGAGGATAAATGTGTAAATGAGGGGCCGCGCTGAGGCTCCTCGGGGAGGGTTCGCTGTGCGAGCGCCAATCGTGCACCGGGAGCTCCCACCCCGAGGGCTCAGCGGGGGAAAAGGAACGAGAAAACCCTTCAGTCTTGGGGGTAGGAACACAAACATGGGTAAATAAAGTATACACAACCACTATAGATTCGTCAATGAAGAAATTCTACCATCACATGACATTGTCATGACACTCATACCACTCCCTCCCAGGAAAACCGCCGCCGTTATCCTGAGCGGAAATGTTATTTTTTTTTTTTTAATATATGGAAATAAAATACTGCAATATATTCATGTACAAACCAAGTTGTCATATTTCAAGTCAGTATTAAAAAGGCATAAAAGCAAAATTTTGGGGGGGGGGGGTTTCAAAGGCTGAACTTTCTGAGCGAGGTACGTGGTGAAGTCCCTCTCATGTATGACAACGTTAATCAGTCATAGCTGGCAGCTACGAAATCTACCATTTCTACAGGTGTAATTTGCAAGTATTTGCTTTAGAAAACGTGTTTCAACATGTCAGCAAGAATCCTTAATTTAACCTAAGAAAAAAAAAAAATCATAGAAGAGAGTATCAATTACAAAAATCCCAAGTT